GTTGTGACGTCATCAGACGGGGTTTTAAGTTTAGGCCCGGTAACCATGGATCCAGCAGTCCGTGGCGTCTGTCAGTAAGCTGCTTGTATAATACAGAGAGGTCAGTTGGTTCTCCGCCAATGGACGTGGGCGATAAACAATCATCTTACATCTTCACCAGTATTGACACAGTGATTTCTTCACCTGGACCCGACTCGAGCTGACGACCATTCCCGCTACCGTGCCAGCCTACATGTCATAAGCGTCTGGTTTACCTAATGTTCCTTCTTCATCATAAAACATAGTGCGATGCGGCTGCATTATTTCCACGAACGTTGTGGGACGGAATATTGGCGAGATGCTGTATAGTAGTAAATTGCTCTTCGTACTTATTACCACGTCATATTATCAGCTCCCAGGTGCGTAGCTACAATTACTACAAAAAAAGACCAGGCTTACACATGATTTTTGCTATGAAAGCTGGGCAAACCCATTTAAATATAAAGGTTTGCAACCTATCGGGCTTACACTAAAAAAAGGCTTGCTACGCGCCAAGTTGCCTATGACCAAAGTTGCCTATGTGGCACTAACAGGAAAACCGTCACACCACCATCCAACTGGGTACCCACTCAATGCTAGGTCAATAGAAAACAACCCGTGAAGATCCGGGTTAGAATTAATCTTCAGTAACCCATGCTTGTCGTAAGAGGCGACTAATGCGATCGGGTGGTCAGGCTCGCTGACTTGGTTGACACATGTCATCGTATCCCGTAGATCGACGCTCACGTTGTTGATCACTGGATTGTCTGGTCCAGACTCGATTATTTACAGAAAGCCGCCATATGGCTGTAAGATTGCTGAGTGCGGCGTAAAACTAAACTCACTTCTACTCACTTAACTAAGGAGACATGTATATGCTTCGGTGTACTCGCAGGATCGAAGACAAAGAAACAAGGTCATACGTCCAAGGAATCTTCGCCTCCAAAGATGTTTAACTTCGCCTGATTCGTAACCCTGTAACACAGCGCCACGTGCTGTCACGTGCCAAATAAACTTTATGTTGTGAAGCTAGTTATCTTTAGACACAGCAGACATTCAACTGTACCCTTTATCAGTCATGTGAAAAAGGAAACATTTAAGTATAATGACATTACAAAATATGTATATTCCTCTTCTTGTGGTGTCTTTTCCTTTTGGTCATCTCTCCATGGGCTCTTCAAGCACTATAAGGATAGGGATGACTAATTTTCTCTGTTATCCTTATTTCATATGGATATAATGCATACCTCCCACCTCCACACACATACACACATACGTGCGTACTCACACATGCACACGGGGCGGTGGGGTAGCCTAATGGTTAAAGCGTTGGCTCGTCATGCCGAAGACCCGGGTTCGAATCCCCACATGGGTACAATGTGTGAAGCCCATTTCTGGTGTCCCCCCGCCGTGATGTTGCTGGAATATTGCTAAAAGCGGCGTAAAACCTAACTCAGTCAGTCAGTCAGTCACACATGTACACAGACACATACATGCATGCATACATACATACATACATACATACATACACACACATATGTACACACACACACTATGAAGTTATGGTGCTATCTGATGGCATAAAATTTACAGACTTCTTTCTTTAGAAATATCATTGATTGTTTTGTATACTTGTATATCGGCACAATCGTACCTATCAACATCACACGTTGACAACATGGACTGTACCTATAAATACGCGATAAACGGTTTAAAAAAAAAGACCGTTATCAGATGTAATCACCGCAAGTGTCTTATCTGCTCATAAACTGTCAAACTGTCGATGGCAGTATTTGACTAATGGCCACGGGCATGGCTGACATTACATAAGATAACAGTGTTTAAAGATTATGCGAATATGTCTCCGTGTCACATGTGTAATTAATTCCCCACCATTTCACTCCAAATATGGCACTTGTTCATATGAAGAGTTGCCATAAAGCAATAATCACGGGTTTGACTGAGAAAGTTTTAGTTTAAAGGCACAATGTGACACATTTTCGACAATACTTTTGGCCTATATTTTATATATTGGGTGCATATGCACTCACTATAGCTTCCTATTGATGCAATATAAGACTTATTATACCCTACGACTTGTCTGAAATCGATACTGGAAACCTCGAGGCGAACACCTTCCAAACAGAGGACGCTTGCCATACATGTATATGGAATGTAAACAATTGCTCCTAACATTGAAAACTGTTTCACGCAGTGTTTGCCGAACCAGGATAGTCGTAAAGAGCGCTCCAAGGGACATAACTCTATGGGGGTGCGCTTGAAATAATGTTCGGCCGGTAGAGGGCAACGTTGCATTAATTCTTCGAACTTTTTGATTGAATATTGTAATCTAAATACGTAGTTATTTTGGGAATAAATTATATGGTAGCTTCCCTGTGGGCTGATACTATTATTGAGAGAAATAAATTATGTATTTTTAGAGAAAAGTGGTGTGACATTGTGCTTTTAACGCCGCTTTTAGCAATATTCCATCAATATCACGTCTTGAAACACATTTTGCGATTATCATTTTCCAAGGTGTGTCCATATCTGCACGACATGCCTGCTGGTTGGTTTCCACAAACTAGTAAAAGTCTGAGGCCTGCATTTGTATGAGCCGTCCTTTCTTTCGCCAGAGACCATCTATTATATATTGTCTCTGGTTTCTCCATATCAAGCTGAGACACCGTAATATAAACGAAACATTGTTCAAGACTCACTCACTAATGGTCCACATCGACTACTTTGTTATGTATTTGTTTTTATGAGAGATATTATTGATTGACTGAGTGTTTGGTAACGACTTCATCAGCAGTAAAACAAATTATATCCTTTTAGTCCTGCTTACGGCGTCGGGCTGTAAATACTGCATGCTTGTCCCTTTCGCGAACACCTGGTGTCAGATTTTTGAGAAGAGTGTGCACACTCCATCATTTCCACCCGTTTTCACTAGAATGTCAATGGTCATTTAATAAACTTTCAGGACAAAATGCTGGTGCATGATGGAAGCCGGAAGTGACGCTTTGGTGAAACCCAAAGCTCATGTATTGTGCACATAAATCTGACATTCAGGCACGTAGCAAGCCAATGTTTTCGTGTAAGCCCGATAGGTTGCAAAGCTTTATATTTAGATAGTATTGAGGGTTTGCCCAACCTTTTTAGCAACAATCATGTGTAAGCCCAGGCCCTATTTTATAATGGTAGCTACGCCCCTGGCATTCGAGCCCATGCAGGTTTCTGACACTTATATTCTAACCCGGTGGTTGGAGTGGTATGAAGAAGAACATCAGATCATATTGTCAGTTTACCTGACTATGGTCGGTCCAGGGTGGCGGGTAGCCATGTGATTAAAGCATCGAAGACCCGGTTCGATTCCCTACATCATGGTACAATGTGTCCATTTCTGGTGTCCTCCGCCATGATATTGCGAGGATATTGCTAAAAGCAGCATAAAAGAAAACTCACTCGCTGTATGTGGAAAATAGATATATTCAGGGAGTTCTGAATGCAAAGTAAGGACACTAAACTTTTACAGGGTGCAGGACATTTAATTCAGCCTTACATATCTGAGCACCATGGCGTCTACACCAAAGGGAGCATTATCAAGAGTATAGTTGCATTTTATGTTAGTCATTTATTTAGGAATCGTGATAACAAAATGATGCAGGGTGCCATTGTATAAAACAACCTTAGCGCTAAGGTTACCTTAAGTCTATGTTAAGGTATGGGAGGTACGGTCACCTTAGCACAAAGATCGCTTTGTACAACGGCACCCTGATTGCTTAAGAGAGTGAACATCCAATTGGCGAAAGAACCCATGCATCTGTTACTGTATTTTTGTCTGTCGAAGTTTGTGCAGGTTTGACAAGCAGAGAGGTGTCATATGGAAAAGCATCTTTAATGAGACTGGTTACATACACCAAATAGAACATGTGTCCCTATATACTCAGCAGTATCAACACAAAAGTGTCATATAGTAAAACTATTGGTCTTATTAAATAGTCTCAGCTGGTCTTACTGTAGCGTTCGGAATACTGGAATGAAGGATACAAATTTTCCTGAGACAAAGCATTATCAGAAAACAACTCAAGCATACATCACAGTATCAGAGTGTGTAACACCTTTAGAATTCAGCAATACAACTTCTTGTGCAGACCGTCTTAATTATGAGTGAGTGAGTTTAGTTTTATGTCGCACTCAGCAATATTCCAGCTATATAGCGGTGGTCTGTCAATAACCGAGTCTGGACCAGACAATTCAGTGATCAACATCATGAGCATCAATCCACGCAATTTGGATACGATGACATGTGTCAACCAAGACAGCGAGCCTGACCACCCGATCCCGTTAGTCGCCTCTTACAACAAGCAATTGTAGAGCAATTCTAACCCGGATCTTGAGGGGTCTCTTAATTAGGAGAACACTGAGAGGGGCTTAGGCACCCCACCAACAGTCTGATATCATTCCTTGGAAAGAATGCACCTTATGACGATGTATGAAATAAGGCCCGTCCGACAGCCCGAGACGGGCTAGATTTCTGCCGGACGGTCTAATTTTACAGCTAGCCAGCCTGATGGACGGGTGAAAAAAATATCCAAATAACGTGTCCACTGGCACTGTCTATTAAGTATTTAAGAAGGACTGGTTAAATCTCTTCTGGGCTGGTAGGTTTTGGAAGTTACCAGCCCAGATGTCTGGATGGGTTTTTGGCTTATTTCATACACGGCTTATGAGCTGAATACTTAGAGCATCCCTATTCAGAAAATACTCCACATATTATTGAGCTTGCAGATAAAATCTTAACAGAATTGGCTAAAAACATACATTTCCTACAGATCTTATCAAAAAGAGACATCCTCTCACAGAACAGTTTAAACAGTTCCCATATCCAGAAGATGAAGGACAAGGGCTATGCCATCCTTTCTAAAAAAACACGGATCTATAGATCTAAATATTCAAAATAATGACAAGTGTACTGTTACAACATTTATATATTTATTATACAAATTACTATAAAAGCTGATGAAACATTATCTACAAACTAAGAATTATGATGAATAGCAAGAGGGAAAATTGGATTTTTTTTCTATATTATAGCATCACAATATTGCAAAACATATTATATTATTTAATAATATAATATCCACAGAGCAAATTATCCATGTTGACTGTGACAGTGAACATGAAGTATGAACGCAACAAAAGTTTCACATAACAAAACCAATAACAGCTACATTTGAGGAAATCAGTATTGAGGCACATTGGTAAAAATAGACAGCATGCTCAAATACAAACAAGAGAAAGACTTAAACATGTTGAAGTCGATGTCATTATTTCAAATACACATTTATCAAAATCAAACCAACAAAAATGAGAAAATACTGCATGACAATATAGATACACCATAAGCTTAAACAACAGCACAAAGGTCCCCTCTTGGTTTGGTTGACCTGGAATTACTTCAATAAAAGGTTTAATATTCCAGGTTTGTACAGTGATAAAAATGTTTCCTGATCATGCTGAAAGACTGGACAATGATTTTCAGGCCAAATGTTCAGTCAGACTTTGTTCAGCAAGTAAGGAAAGTATCTTCCTATTTTAAAAATATCTGCATCTGAACTGAAGCATTGCATAGAAAGAAAAATTAAGATCGATATGCTCATTTGCTGAGTTTTTCTGATTTTGGTTTATGTATGTTTTTGGTAAAATCTCTGATCTTTGGTTAAAAAAAATAATATATAATATGCATTCTACAGGATGTTTCAATCATCTAGAACTCTAACTTGGATCATTGGGTGATAAACAAGTTTTGTCAGAGTTTGACTTGAATTTACAATTAATATTCATACAAAAATGAACTATTTTATTGTTATTTTGACTTCTTTATTAAGTTTCTATTTCAATAGTGAGCACATCTGTAAACCAAGCTACACCAAATATATGGCCAAACTATAGGATATTAGCCAAATTAAGCCTGTACAGCAAGACAACATACAGGCCTGGACTAAATGATAAATAAATGATAACCAATTAGCTTCAAGGAAATACGGATAATCTGTCCCGAGTGAATATAGGGTATAACACCCATCCTTCAGCCAGGGACTTACAATGCTTCCTGCATTCATTTACTAGGGACAAATAAACTGTTATTGTAAGTTTCAAGTAGATTATCCTATCATTCCTCATTGATATTTTAAAAGAGACAATGAAGAAAAACTGTTGAAATGTCAACACAGGTTATTGTTTAGATGACATGAAGTAATCGATTTGTGTCATCATTAATAATTGATGACTTAATGTCATACTTTTCTAAAAAATCAAACAATGACGTATATATTAATGCTCCAATCATCACTGAGAATCACTAAAAAATATTGGAAAGTTTTTACATCCGATCATTCTACCTTAAGGGTAATATATAGAATTTCAATATTTGCATCAAATTAGCACATGGTACAATCAACACAGACGGTGTGGGCAACAGATTGTGGCGCGCATTGTGCTAATCTAAAATTACCATTATGTCTTCACAATGATTGAGTATGTTCCAAAGCCAATAAATCTCGGCTAATCTTTTCTAAGCATGAAAACTAAGCGATTAATCAATAAGGCAATGCATTTATTTCTGTCTCTTTAATATAATATTTACATTAGGCCAATCATCAGTGTATTTGTATGGCACTGATATTTTGACATGTTTACACAATTTCCTTCCAATAATATCACAGTATAAGCTTCGACAATACAGACAATAATCCTGAGTACAATATAACAACATTAACATGTACAACGACAACAACAGTAAAAACATATCTGTACACCAAAACCATTCCTGGAATTTCGGAAGCAGGGTTAGCAGGGTAAAAGCATAATGCCAGATCAATTAATGTTTTACATTCTCTATCATCATTATACACAAAGATAACACTCTTCATCATGATTATCAAATGCACACATAAAAAGGAAGTTATTATAGATAAATGAACAATATACTCAGTTCTAACCTCTTTGACAGGCATTTTAGAAGTGTAAAGAAGTTGTAATTGAGCTTGCAGATGAAATCTTAACAGAATTGGCTAAAACATACATTTCCAACAGATCTTATCAAAAAGAGGCAGCCTCTCACAGAACAGTTTAAACAGTTCCCATCTACATTTCTTTGAGAGACATTTCAGAAGTTGTAAAGAAGTTATAATTGAGCTTGCAGATAAAATCTTAAGTGCACTTGGTCCCTTGGGTACATTGCTAAACTTATTGCCTTGTTGACCAATGTTGTTGGTTTCTTTTGTCAGCAAGACAAGATGTAGGAATAGTACATGTAAACTGATTGATTTGACAGGGGTAATTATTTGTAAAAATGGTAAAAACCTCTTTAAAATAGAAAAGTTAAAAATGAAAACATAAAACTTCCATTAAGCTACATATACTAGTTTATCTCTATTGTACAATGTGTAGAAAGTTTATCCTTACAAACAAGACAAACATCAGTCTTGTCTATTGATAATAGCTTTTCTGTGGGTGTATATCACACCAAAGACCCAGGTTCGATTCCAAGTATGGGTATGTGTACCAGGCAATTTTCGGTGTCCCCCTCATCATATTGCTTGAATATTGTTAAAAGCTGTGAAAAACCATTCTAATATCATGCAAATGATAAGATCACTGTTCTACTTATATCTGAATACCATATCTAATCTCTTTTTATCTAGTATGTGCAAGTACACAATTAATGATCATCTTTGATTCTCTAGAATCAATTTGGTATACTGGCTACCTCTTAAGCAATGTCCATAAAGAAGATGAAATACAAAACATTCACAAACACACGCTACCATGGTTACTATTGATCAACTGAAAGAAACAAGTGTGACCAAAACTTGGACGATAAAATCCAAGACATACTTGTAAGAAGTGGAATAGGTCACATGACTGTCACAGGCAGCTTGGGTTATCAAGGGCGGTAATGTCTTAGCGCCTTGAGCATACACAAGTGTGTGGAAACAGGTGCTTTATAAACAGCCATTATTATTATTCAGTTGATGGTTGTGTACCAAAAACAGTCACTGGAATAAATCTCGACTGGGATTGGTATGAAGCTCAGAGAGGGAATGGTACGAAGCTCCGACAGGGATTGGTATGAAGATCAGAGAGGGACTGGTATTAGGCTCAGAAAGGGACTGGTATGAAGCTCAGAGAGGAACTGGTATTAGGCTCAGAAAGGGACTGGTATGAAGATCAGAGAGGGACTGGTATTAGGCTCAGAAAGGGACTGGTATGAAGATCAGAGAGGGACTGGTATTAGGCTCAGAAAGGGACTGGTATGAAGATCAGAGAGGGACTGGTATTAGGCTCAGAAAGGGACTGGTATGAAGATCAGAGAGGGACTGGTATTAGGCTCAGAAAGGGACTGGTATGAACTTAACACTGGGACTAGCGTGGCATGAATCCAAGATTTGCCCAGATGATAATTCTAGGTTTTGTCTACACTGCCCATGCTTGTAGGTTTCACATCATAAACTTCACTCCAGGACTTTCTCTCGTATCATGCTGACTGTAATACAACTGAAACACTGTCTAAAGCATACACTCACTCACACACTCACTCAATCATATTAACCTGAAAAAAAGCAAAGGAAATCTGCATACTGACCCAAATATAAAATCATCATACTATTACAACACTACTAATGTACCAAAATGTTGTATCAACTTTTACAACAGGCATAGGTGACTGAGGGCCTATGGAATCCCAATAGCAGATATACCCTTCGATATCACCTATATCGGATCTTCAACTAATCATATTAACCATGTGTTAATGGCAGTGTGTCCTTCAATATACAATACGTAGGTAGATGTGAAGGGATGTCCCAACCATATCACTATCTTGGCACACAGTAACTGTAACCATGGTAACACAGTAAAATTGTGTTTATGCTCCAGTGAAATGTCACCATTCATCCCAGAGTAGACATTATGATCAAAATCCAGAATGTCTACATCTCATTTCGGGCTAGTGGTTCATGCTATTTAACTACAATCTAGAGATGTAGTCCTTCCAAATGTTTACTTGCCACAGACTAGTGGTCTAATGCTTGTTTCTGACCTTTGAAACAGCTGAAACTGACTGTCCTTTGTTTCGAGCAAAGTCTCCATAATATGCAACAACAAACATAAAATGCTACATAAAACCTGTTTAAGACATCATAAAATATATAATCAATGTATTACATGGTGTACATATTAACAAAATATAGAATATATGGTCAAAAGGCACAATTTAACCCAGCTTCATGTAAATGACAAGCTTCAATTTATAAATCAGATAAAAAAACAGAGTGTAAAACAGGTATGATGACAAACCCAATAAGGAGGACCATTCCTATTGTCAACCCTGGCTCGTTCCAGTCAAGAACTTTAGGATACATGACGCGACTGTGATCGGGAATCCAGTAAAATACACTGAAGAAAACATACACCAGGCCGTATGTTATGGGGTAGATGACGTGTAGCAATCGGATCGGAATTGCCGACAAGACATGCTCAATGACCACGATGACGGGAATTCAGCATGTGAAGCTGAACATTACCCATCGCCCCTGCATCCATTCCACTCATCTGCGGAAACAGGACCGCAAAAAATATTAACGTAACCATGATAGCACAGCTTGATACAACATTAAACAGAATCCAGACGATTTTCAGATACCACGGTAACCCAAAAAGACGAAAATCTATATCTCCAACACCGTCAGGGATGGATTCGTAACCCGTTGAGGTGACCATCCAGGGGTCAGTGCTGGCTTCAGGGAACATGTTCTGATGACCTTGAGATGGCGGTCTTCTAACGAACTTTGTGTCCTCGTACCGGAGACAGATGTAGTGGATGAATGCTGCTATGAAGTGAGTGGTCATGTACAGTGCTAGCACGGTGTATGTCCAGTTGGTCAGGAAGGCAGCAAAGGACAGACCATTTAAGGGTACACCGCTTTGGTCGACACAGAGGTAGATGAGCCATACGTCCACGTAAACCGCCATCACGAAACGGTACAGAAGATACAGGATTGGAGGAATACGCCACTGGAATAAAGAAATTTGACAGTTTTCAGCATCAAAGCATTAAACTCAACATCTACCATAATAATAAAGCATGTTTTCAGTGCGCGTATTTCACTCCAAGGTGTGTTCATGGGGCAACATTATTACCCTGATCAATGTGAACTCCAATGGCTTTCTCAAATCCCCGGGACATTTACAACTCTAGCTCTCTGTCCGCAAGGTTCAGAATTCACTGTATCATCTCTAGCCATTTACTGCTGGGTAAACAGAGACATATCTTTAAAAGTCACCTGCATAAGGGGACGAAGAGTATTTTATAATGTGCTTCGATGTGGGGCAGTACACAATCAGCTTCACAATGTCATACAAATCATACTCATGTACCTACAGAATTGCTGAGTCAGTTGTAAAAGGCCAAAATGTTACTCTTTTATAAAAATCGGCAAACAGCTGAATCAAAGATTGAGCACAATAATGACAATAGGCTCAAAATGTATCTCAAAGGACACATTAACCTGGTCAAAATCATGGTAGTTAAAAGCATATTTAAGACATCATCTTCTACTGATGCATTCTAAAATAGTACACAAAGCTGTATAAACATGGCATGAGCAATTTCAAAAATTCTTACATGCCACATGAAAAAACGTCCTTTGTAAACATCGCCAAATCCAAAGTTCTTCAAGCGGAATTCTTCCCGTAAAGACAGACAGCATCTCCTTGGACAACTCATCCTGCAGGACACTGAAATGTCAAGCTGGACGTGATCATCACCCAAACCAAATATAACTTGAACATAAAGAATTTTCTGGATTTCATTTTCCTTTATTCTTTGATGCAACGTTTCGGGACCTGTTCCGGGCCCATCATCAGGTAAAACTAATCTGATGATGGGGCCCGGAACAGCCCCGAAACGTTGTATCAAAGAATAAAAAAAAGATGAAATCCAGAAAATTCTTTATGTTCATCAAATAGCATCTTCTAAAATGCCAATCAAGCATCTAACTTGAACATGATTACAAACATCCTGTTGATTTATCTGATTCTGAAAACCAAAACAATAACCTTTCTATCATTTAACCATTCTTACCTGGTCAAAGCAAAGTACCTGTAATTTACACTCCTGCCAAAGGATTTTTGTTGCAGGCGTATCGGTACTCAGGTACTAATAAAGCGCCATCAGCCAAATGTACCAGATGTTGTTGGGACAATGGCTCAGTTTATCTATACTTCACATCATGCTCTTTGGATCAAAGCTGTCTCAATTTCATTATAATGAATTAAATTACATTTGGACATTGTGAAAATGATGGTTCAAAGGCAAAGCGAATAAGGGCCATCACAATCCATTGTTGCAAGAGTGAACAGTGAAAGGTTGATATGGGTGAAGGTGTGTTTGTTGTTATTTAACACCGCGATCAGAAATATTCCAGCTATTTGGCTGCAGTCTGTAAATAATAGAGTCTGGACCAGACAATCCAGTGATCAACAGCATGAGCATGGATCTACGCAACTGGAATAAAATGACATGTGTCAACCAAGCCAGCGAGCTTGACCACCGAATCACGTTAGTGACCTACAACAAGGGTGGATACAGGAACCTATATACAAGGTTACAACTTACATAAAGGATTGTTATAGGGACCAATATCAGCGTATGAAATAAGCCTAAAGCCCAACCAGACATCAGGGATGGTAACTTCAAAATCTTACCAGCCCAAAATGGATTTAACCAGACCAGACACAAAGATATGGTGAAGTTACTCAGATGTGTGAAACATCTAAAATTTTCACCAGACCATCGAACTGGCTAGCTGCAAATTTAGACCGTCTGTCAGAAATCTAGCCCGTCTCGGGCGGTTGGACGGGCCTTATTTCATACACTGCCAATATACAAGGTTACATAAAACTTAATAAAAGGGGTGATATAAGGACCGATATACAAGGTTACATAAAGGGTTGATATAGGGACTGATATACAAGGTTACAAAAGGGTTGATATAGGAACCGATATACAGGGTTACATAAAGGGTTGATATAGGGACTGATATACAAGGTTACATCAGTGTAGGAAAGATAGCCCATCCCAACGTCCGAGACGGGTGAATTTTGTGGAGGACGGGTTAAAAAAATATCTAGTCCGTCCTCATGTCGGGTCAATTTTAGCAAACCAATGACATATATATGATTATAACCTTTTTGAATATTTACTGCCAAAGGTGTTTTATTTATATTTGGAGGACAGGCTAGATTTTGGCAGGACTGGTAAATAATTTGACCTGCCAGTCCTGTGGACAGGCTAGATTTTCTACATCTTTCCTACTTACATAAAAGGTTGATATAGGGACCAATATACAGGGTTACATAAAGGGTTGATATGGGGACCAATATACAGGGTTACATAAAGGGTTGATATAGGGACCGATAGACAGGGTTACATAAAGGGTTGATATAGGACTGATATACAAGGTTACATAAATGGTTGATATGGGGACAGATATACAGGGTTACATAAAGGGTTGATATAGGGACCGATATACAGGGTTACATAAAGGGTTGATATAGGACTGACATACAAGGTTATATAAAGGGTTGATATGGGGACCGATATACAGGGTTACATAAAGTGTTGATATAGGGACCGATATACAGGGTTACATAAAGGGTTGATATAGGACTGATATACAAGGTTACATAAATGGTTGATATGGGGACAGATATACAGGGTTACATAAAGGGTTGATATAGGGACCGATATACAGGGTTACATAAAGGGTTGATATAGGACTGATATACAAGGTTATATAAAGGGTTGATATGGGGACCGATATACAGGGTTACATAAAGGGTTGGTATAGGGACCGATATACAGGGTTACATAAAGGGTTGGTATAGGGACCGATATACAGGGAAGAGCTAGGGAGGACATGACAATTGACTATACAGCTTTCCTCACCACTGTTTCCCTGACACAAGGAAACTATTTAGACTGCTGGTGTTCTTCTGATCGACAAGCCTCAGCACAGACTGAACAAATACCACTGAATGAACAAGAATGATCTATAGCAGATTTATATAACTTCCCCTATCAAACATAGGAGTGTGGTATCTGATATAAATAGTAGTTATTGTGTAACAACATAAACACTGATAAAGCCAGTGAGGAGGAAGACAAGACGATGTACCCTTGCCTACTGTTGAGAGTGGGAGTGACGTAGCTCAGATAGTTTATCTACACTATCATAAGCATGACAAATACAACCAAGATAAGTCTTCATAATACATTGTGACCTTACTTCACCCACTCTCATGAGAATGTTGAAATAGAATGAAAAAAGGATGAGAGAAAGGGTTTACGTGATTTCTGGTACATAATATACCAATAGATTAATTTTATAGTTCATGAATGAAACAACTGCTGCTGACACTAGTGACAGGTGATTAAAGAATGGGACTGATGCAGATGTAGTCCTATTAATTAAAATGACAACACAAAACAATTCAGCTGGTGGATTTGATTTCCTGACAGTCATCGCTTGTTTGTAAACATAATGTTTACACTGAAACCCAATAAGCAGATCCATTTGCATGTGAGAAAACTAGAAAACTAAATCCCCTGAAGTTCAACATGTTCAAAGATTACCTATTCATTTCTCAATATGTTATTTTGGGATTACAAACTAAAATATTTTCAAGTTAAGTTGTACAAATTTTGAGTTACAATCCATGCAGAATTAGTCTCTGTCAACTTGTGAAGTCAGCATGGAAATGTACGTTACCAGACTTTTAGTTCATATGAATAAACTCATATTCCAGCCAAGGCTTACATCGATAACACCTTGGTATAGTGCAAAGTTGTCTGGTTACATGCTGGACAACCAGACTCTCTGACCTCAGCACAATATGAATACCTCACTAGAACATGAACAGGAAAAAAACACACCTTGATCATTCGGACTCAAAGGTTTAAAAACGAATAACGTCCCAATACTTCAAGTTAAAGACTTTTCCTGTCCATCTAAGTATATAGCGTTTGTTCCTAATTCGCGTAAAAATAGACACTGTGGTAAAACAATCTCTCATATAAGTCAATATTGTTACTTAGAAATTTACATTTCGTAAATGTGAATGCTCTATCGATTTGTACTCTCCTACACATGTACATGAGATGAATGGTACGGAAGCGCTGAAGGGACCTCATGAAATAAAAATTATCTTGAGCGCACAAGTTAATATCTTGAACGCACAAGTTAATACCTTGAGCGCTGAAGTTAATATCTTGAGCACACAAGTTAATATCTTGAGCGCACAAGTTAGTATCTGGAGCGCACAAGTTAATATCTTGAGCGCTCAAGTTAACATCTTGAGCGCACAAGTTAATATTTTGAGTGCTCAACTTCGTGTTTAGCATCTAATGGCATTAATGGAACGCACATTTGCTTGACTGCTGGCTAAAATGTACAAACTTATATCCTTTTTGGAAGATTTCAAACGATGCAAAGTCGGAGTTAACTATAGGTGTTTATGATGAGACTATGTAAAAGTATGCAAATTTATCATGAACATGTAAACGTTCATGGTCTTTATGCTTGTCAATACTATTCTTTGTGTCTGATTTACCACTTTTTGCTTTATTACATAAAGCAGGCCTAGGTATGTGTAATGTCATAATAAGAATTAAAACATAAACATCAGTAGGAGTTTATTGCAGGGATGAATAGTGGTTTTACTTACTTCTTATATTGGTACATAGTATTATGAACACTAGCGTAAAGCTTGGATAACTTGTTTTGTGCTACGGCTTTATTATGTATATATAGTATTACATGATCATGAAATATGTAAACATTGAGTGTTATACTTAATTATCTTAATTATAAAACTGATGTCCGATGTATTGGAAGTATAGTCGACCGCTTTCAGGGAACTATAGTCTATAGTCTTGGTTTGCATGTATCAGTAATGTTTCCTAACGTGGGTACAATGGCAGTTTAACAATATGTACAGTTTGTACAATATCATATAAATATGACGTATAGCATATATACCGACTTTATTTCTTACTAAAATACCATGTTCCCCGTTTCACTTCCACCTTCCAACACAGGAAGTTGAAGAATAAACATGTCGATGAAGACAGTGTCCTGAGCGAAATTCAACAACGACCGTACAGTATCCTGTTTCACGATTAAACCGCATTGGATTCATTTTTGATGCATCAACGATAACCATGGCTTTGTTCAGATGGCCCGAAGTTGTCCGCAATAAAGTATGTAACATCAGCGGGGCGGTGGGGTAGCCTCGTGGTTGAAGCGTCCGCTCGTCACGCCTGGGTTCGATTCCCCACATGGGTACAGCCCATTTCTCTCGTGTTCCCCACCGTGATATTGTTGGAATATTGCTAAAAGCTGTGTAAACCGTACTCACTCACTCACTGTAACATCAGCAAATCTGGTATCTGGTGCCAAAGAGGGACATACACCTGAGAATACGCTTCGAGTGGCGTACTATACTATACCATGATTTTTGACAAGAAGATGTGTTATGTGTTTGTATTGGAACCCAAGACTGAAATAAGCATGAATCAGATCGCGTTTCCACTCCTCCTTGCTTCCACATGAACTGCTTATGAAGCAGTGTATCTCAATATACTAAGTTGAGCGCTCAACATACTAACGTGTGCGCTCAAGATACTAACTTGTGCGCTCACTATATTAACTTGTGCACTCAAGATAATTAACTTGTGCGCTCAATATACTTACTTGTGCGCTCAAGATAAATTATATTTCATCAGGTCCCTTCAGCGCTTCCGTAGAATGGTGTGTACCATGACTAAAACACTTTGACTTTAATCTATGGCTTTCCATTGGCCCTTTTGACTTTTTCAGTTTTGGCCCTTTCCTCCTTTGGCCCTTTTGACAACTGCTAATATCCGTTAATTTAGTTGAGAAGCAAATAGGAAACTGACATGAGTATTGGGAGCAACTTACTGCAGCGCTAATTCTCTCAGACTGCCGACATTGGCTTCATAGATCTTCTCGACCCTAGGTATATAAGTTGTGCCAGGGTTAGGTAACCTGCACGTGTGCACTTTGTGCAGGGACTTTGGATTTCCCCCTCCCCATTCAAGCACCCCTCTGTGATCAATAAACGTAGTACTGTAAAAGGGTCCTTTTAAAATACTATTCGACAAAACATACATGCTGACCCGTACACGATAGATCTAATGTTCTGACCCTAGCTTCCACCACCTGCTGGGTAGGCTGTGGTTCGTAAGTCGGGTACCTCGAGTCGGCGAACACTGACACAGCGAAATTTCGAAATTAATCTATAACATAAGTGTACAACCATGACATGTTAACATAATCAAAGAATTGAAGAACATCGTTTTTAAGCTAAAGTATCTTACCCTGATTTCGCTATCTTCTTGACTTCTTATCGCTAACCGAAACTGCAGCACATGACCAGCCGATAACACAACCCTTTGATGTTTACACTGACGGGGTATGGGTCAGGAGGTCAAGGTTCAAAAACTATTTTCTTCTATGATATTTTCAATAAATAAATTTCAGCTGGTTAGTGTTGATCTAAGTGTCTATGCAGTCGTGAATTGCAATACCACTTGCTAAATATGTTAATCTTACAAACATCTCGCGGTGTCGATAAACGCGAGACTTCAAGAAACAATATGGCGGCTCCTTAGCGACGGGGTACGCGAAGTGACAAAATGAATGGGACTTTGGTGATATGCTTGATGAATAGGACAGCGGCACAAAAGATACTATGAATGATCTTTGAACTTGATTACAACTGGCACAATGAAATGGGGAAAGGGAAACAGCAAATTGACCCGTGTCATACATTTGTTCCAAAGATCAGTGAGGCCAGCAAGAAACTCGCACTGCGAAGGCTAGAAAACTTGGATACTAAAGGCATACCGCATTTTATGCTGGAAACAAGAAGCAAAGTCAAGTTGCATGAACCACTTGAGCCCATTCCTCCAATATCACCAAATTACAGCTATCCAACTGTCAAAGAAGGATGGGTTAAAGGCTTTCACAAATCAAAAGTAAACGATTGTGCTGTAAGCCTGGAAACTGACGGAATCATTTCTCGACCAGCCATGAGCAAAAATGCAGTACTTCCACCCAGAAGGGTGGACTTGGATGAGAATATTTTTACTTTTCGTCCAAAAGTCAGTTCAGCTAGTGTAAGAATAGCTGAAAGTCTCGGTTCTGATTTCATGTCTAGGCAACAACAGCATTTGGATCGCCAAAAAAGACTTGTAAGTTATTGAATTTTTGTTAGATCATGTTGTGATTTTATATGGTTCATGATTTTATTATCAATCTAACAACATACTATATCTTCTTCAATTAATCATGTTAATTTGTTTCCCTTTTAACAGTGAAAAGAAAACATTCTATAGAACGTTTTGAAATATTCTCAAACTTTATTCACCTGACGAAGGGGCGAGGAAAAGCCCAGAAAGGTTGTGTATAGAATAAACAAGAAATTGACATCCATAATATTTGTCTTATACTGTTCTCAAACTGGGTTTAAAACAGAAATGTGATACATTGCCATGTGGTTTTCACGGTCCATCACTGACAGATTTCAACATTTTATTAATGTATTTATACATGTAGTTAACTTTAATTGTTGTTTCATAGAATTATAAAAGATTTTATGCTTCATTTTCAGACTTTTAACATTGCCAAAAATATAATGATAAATGTTTGATTCTGTCAAAGTCAAATTTTTTTGTCAATGGTCGGTAAAATTAACAAGATGGATGACAATTTTCCCATATACATCATAAATCATAGCACTAATCACCTAATGACAGGCCTCGATTTAAGTATTTAATTAAAACTTGCACTGGTGCTACCTGAAACTGCAAATTATATGCAACCTCATATTTATACCAACTTGCACCCAGTGCATGTTAACATGGTTAATACTTTGCTATTCAAAGAACACAGACTTAAGCAAGATGAGGAACTGGCTGGGAGCAGTGACTCTGATGACTACACAGACAGTCATTCAATGATTGTTACTGTTCATGACATGAAATTGTAAAAAGTAAGATAAAATGATCTCATCAGACAGAGAATAATGATGTTCTATATCATCAAAACAAAAACTGAAGCAATCATATATTGAGCAGTAGGTGCAACTTGTTTTTTTTCTGGTGCAACAATGTAATTACCTAAGGAAGCACTGGGTGAGGATTGGTTTTATGTCGCCATCATCATCATCTTCATCGTCCCATTAGCATACTGTGAAACATTGTTTTACATCTGTCTTGTCAGCAAGAGTTCAATTGTTTTAATTATGTATGCAAAATTATATACATGATAAAAGCATAGACCAATAATCATAATAATCAAATAACGTCTTCTGTGATAACACTGGTCACCTTTACAAAAGGTTCTGTTAAATGTGAAACATTACAACTGCTTTCTTATACAGGCAGCAGTACTTTATACAAGAGGCTTTATTGAATGCCAGTATAAGGCTTATGATATTGCTAATCACTGTTCAATCTGCAGGCCCTAATCCCGTTTGTTGTGTGCAAGTGTGAAACATAGCTTGACAGCCAGCATTAAGTAGCTTCCACAAGTCTGAGATATGGTTGACTGGCAGTAGATTGAAGGTTACTGTGCTTGTGTCCTACAGCCAGCCAACGCTGTCATATTGGATTCCAGACCGATCGTCAGATACACCTTTCACAGCAACTCTGAGCCCCCAGAATAATACATTCTTGCCAGGCGTTTTGATTACAAACGTGTCCACTGATTACTTCGCTGAGACAAAATCTTCTAGCTTGGACCAAAGAGCATCTTTGTAACTTGATATGGTTAGTTAAACCCAGTCAACAGTTATCAAGGTTACTATCATAAAAACCCTCACTTCATGATATTACCATGATTATGGTTTGCTCATTAATCCCTGATTACCCAAGGTAGGTCAAATACAAATATGTTTGTTGATATATATTGACATGACATAATGTTTAAATATATGAGTCAGTCAGTTTTTACAGGGAACAATATGAATCAACAAAAGTCATCCTAATCATAAGTCACTTTATAAAATGTAATATATAAGGATGTATAAAATTCACTTTGACTTCCTGTAAGAGTAGCCTTATGTTGATAAGTGTTCAATATGGTGGAAAAAATATTCATGTTAATATCTTGCCAGTTTGTCCAGAAAACTGAATCATTTGCTGATACACATATTACCACTAATTTGCTATCCAAAATAGTCACTTATGCAGGGTAATAAGTTAATTTTCTAGCACATTGATTAGGCCAAATAAAAAAAATGTTGTGGTTCTGATTACACCTCTTTAAAATTTAGGGTAGGTAGGTAGTTTTTGGGGTTTTTTTTCACATCATTCTTTTAGAAGTAAAGTACAAACTTAAATAACAGATTTATCAATGTGTAATTGTTTATTCAATCAAGCTTGTGGCCATCATGTCGACTTTCTCTATCAGAATGACCGATGTCTGTTGGTGCCGAAAAAAAACAATGGTATCTGAAAGCTTATTTTATTCATATCGCTTAAACTAAAGAATTCAAAGGTCAGTCGGGTAATTGGAACCACAACAAATTTTTTAGGCCTTATCATCCAAACTGTCCTAAATCTTCTGTTCAAATTATGATGGTACTGATGTAGAGGAATGTCTCATATAACCAGGCTATTTGGAATTAAAAACTTAATATAAACTTTAACACCCGGACACCTCAGGTTACATTTATCAAACTTAATAAAACCATGGTTATGTCCTAATATCATTTGTCTTTATGAATATCACTGTATTGTCCAAGCCTCTGTATCATAACCAGTCTTTTGTAAATCAGGCTTATGATAAAGCCTTTACCACCATGGTCTCCAGAACTGATTTCATCCCTACTTAATGACAGTCACAACTTTCAATAGTCTCCTGCGAGTGACTGCGGCCTGCTTAGTGAACCAGGAATGTCCCAGTTGTCAGTGATAACTCAATCTCCTCACTGATATACTCTACTTAGACTAAGGGCTACAGATACCCCTGTTCATTGTCTCCAGGGACTTGATAGAACTCTCCTGGGGAAAGATTGTCGTATCTTGTTTATAAGGCTTTAAGGGGGTCAAGTCTTTGTCCAAGCACACCCCCACTGGTGTGGATTTATATTTCCATGAATACAGAACTAAATATGAATATTTGCTTGCATATATTCCAATGGGATACTATTCTAATAAAACAGTCAGTCCTGGGTAGACCAGTACATATCAGCAGTCGAGACAAGGATAGTGGGTAATGCAAAAACTTTGTTAGTTTGTGGAGGGTAAAGGTAGGCTGACATGGTCTTTGAACTCGTATTCAGTGCATTTCTCCTAATGTTAGTTTCAGTATGGAATGGAGCTAAACTTATTTTCATTCCACAGTCATGCTGGTCAACCAGCGCGGCTTGGTGGGCATTGATCCAGATTGTTCAGATGTTAGCATATATAAATTAATCATTGCTATGCTGTGGTAAGTGTATTATTGTACAATTTAATAACAGTGGTCTCTGTGTTTGCATAAATGGTGGTTCTAATATGTCTTTTATAAGGAGTCGGTCAGAGGGAATCAGGAGTGGGTCACAACACGTGACTGTCAATAGGCAAGGGTCGTATAAAGTAACAGACGTTAGACTGTTGTGATTCTTTTCATGTACCGGTATATGGTAAATTGAAGGGTCTCCTTTCATGAATTCATGGTTACTTGAACTGAATATTTTGAAGTATTTTTTAACAGAGTGTAATTTTACATGGAACTTGTCTTTAAAGTGTCTAGGTTTTTTCCAAAGTGAGATATGCAAAATGGAATTAGCGTAACTGTGGTCATATTTGCCAAAACCCCTTTCAATGACTGTCATAACGAAGCACACGTGACACATGTGGTCTCACCTTAGGCAAGTTAATTTTTTCATGAATTGCCTCTGTTCACTCAGCAGTGTATGGGTACCCGGTGGGATAAGTCATATGACTGTTAACCTTCTAATGCCTCACAGGCAGCTTGTGTTATCCAGGGTAAATTGCGTTAGCGCTATAAATAGCTTTATTATTATTATTATTATTATTATTATTATTATTATTATTATTATTATTATAATAAGGCTGTAAGCAGCAATTTCAACTTAGCAAAAAGTATTTCTGAAATGTTTCAACCTAAGCAGTTGCATGGCATTTTTGTAATTTTAATTCCTTCATATTAAATAGAAAATATTCATGAATACATATTTATATTCACCCAAGCACCTGATATGTATAATATTCACTTCATAATGTATTCATTGTAGCCCGAATAGACATATGTGTTTTGGAAGGTCATGGAAAAAAAATGGTAGTTGCGAAGATTATTAAATATTAATTGCTTTTGCAAGGACATGAGAAGCATACCAAAATATGATGAACAATCGACTGGAGTCATTATTTTCAATGTATCAGCAGTGTATCAAAAACCTCTGATTAAATACAATTGTGAAGCAATTTGTGCATTGATGCTTAAACTGAACACCATACATCTGTTATCATCTGAACAAATTGCTGTTCTATGATGCCTCACTGGTATTGTCAGTGTCCTGAAACAGCTGGCTCTTCATATATGGTTTCATACATTACAGATGTGTATCAAATCTAATATAGTCATCATGCTTTGAATTTACTCTTTGTTCATCCAGTGTATGATCAGTGATATCCAGCTAACAGTATGGCAATACACCAAGTTCTCAACTTACTGCATTATCTAGGACGTTCTCGTGTTGCATGTGCACAAAATATAAAGGTGTTTTGTATGTGCCAGAGCTTGTGGAACTCCAGTAGTACACCTTGTATTTGACATCAAAGTAAATGTTGATAAAGGCTGTTGTGACTTAGGTGACAGCTGATAAGGCTATTTGATTTGTTGCCACCGTTTAAATACCAGTAATCATACATTAGTCATGTATAGGTACGGTTTGATGGCAAAATGACATATATTTTCAACTGTTACTAGTACTGTATAAGTTCACTGGTGTGGTGTTGGTCAAAGATTTCCTTGCTGGTGAGTGAGTATTTTAGGCTGCTTTTGGCAATATTCCAGCAATATCATGGCAGGAGACACTAGAAATGGGACTATAAGTACAACCAGAAATAATTGAGAATTTAAAGATTGTAAATTCTTTTCTTTCTTTTTTTCACTCATTACTCACTTATTAAATGTGAATATTAGCGGAACATAACTCCAGATTCAAAGACAGGTGAACAGT